AACAAAGGGCTTTCCAACAGCACACATGCAAAGCAATGTGAAATTGTGAAGTGAATAAAAAATTCATATACATATGCTGAATGATAATGCTTGGAGACGGCTTGAATGGGTAATGAAGAAACTCTTTAATGTAAGCTTAACATAACAGCAAAATGACAAAACCTTGTCAAAACAGTGTACATTCGCATAGAGAACCCATTTTTCATCACTGATGACAATTCTATCTAAAAATGGTTCACGTGCATTACGCGCCAAAAGAGGCGAAGCAACGTTCACACGTTGGAAACAATGATTATCGGGGAGTTCGTGAGACACCCAAACACATTATTAAATGTTTACGTATTGTTTCATGAGAGGCATACAATTTCAGGGCCAATTCACGAGTGTATTGCCTTGGGTTAGACTCAACAAGCGTTTTCAGAGCATCAATATCAATTCCAACTTGTTGACCCCAGCCATCACAGTTTTTAACGCTAAAGTCACCTGAACGAAATTTGCTGAACCATTGTTGACACTTACGAACGTGCAAAACATTTCCATAAACTTATCTGATATTCTTTGTGGCTACAGAGGCGTTGTTTCCATTCTTGTATTCAAACAGCATTACATGCCGAATGTTTAGCGGTTCGTTTAACTATTATTCGTGATGTACGTTTTTTGGGGGTAGTTAATGAAAGTGTTCCAAAACGCAACATTAATTTCTTGACGACCTAGTAGTTACTCACACAAGTGACCAACATTAGATCAAATGCCACTCAAGTGCCAACCTGCTTAGTCTGACCATTGAAACATCTTGTTCTTATATCTATTTCCTTCAAATACAGATTAACCACAAAGGGGAATTTCTACGTCTCGCAGGTCCACCACTCGTTCACAATCTGCATTTTCATGTTCTATGGCTTGGCTTACACAGTTAATGAATGATTAGAAATTACTTAGAAAACTTAGGGAATGTTTCAATCTTGTATTTGCCAAGTTTGTTGCACTGTTTATGAATTTCACTTTCTACAAATAATCTTTCATGTCACTCATATTTCAGCTTCAACCCACTAAAATGTTGCCATCAAACATTTTGAAAACACAGGTAAAACTACGTTTTCCTTGAAGTGTGATGTGAGCTCTCTATTATTCATATCCGATTCCAGAAAATACAATGCCTGTCTAATTTTTCAAGCCAAAACATTTGCACAAGCTTAACAGTTCACTATTTCTTAAAATAATGCCTTACAAGTAACCAAATACAGTTAACTTCACGACTCTGTCCAACATTAAGATAAACCTGGTATTTTCACTCAAGTGTTTGATCTATGTTATGTTCTGAGTGACTGATTCATTTTGCACTGAACAACACTTATGAATGACTTTGCTGAAACCTTCATATATGCCATACTTAGCATACACATAATTGCAAGCACATATTTGCATAAACGCAAAGTTGAAAATATCTACGCATCATATAATACAGTAATAGCTTTTTCTAGATTTCTCGGGCATTTTGCACAGTTACTATAGTAATATACACAGGCCACTTCTGTAAATTAAGCAACTGTAGTTATAGTTTGATAACGTGCTGCCATCTGTGAGTGATGCAACTCAACAGTTTTACAAGCCTCATGAAATAAATACTTCCTGGTGGAATTTAGTTCTACTAGACTATACAGCCTGAAATTATATGTGCCAGTAATGTCATTCTTTCTGTATATCAATACAATTTCTTGCAAGCACTGACTAAATACATCAAACTTCATGAGCATTCATTCTTCCAACCACTGACTGTTGAGACTTTGTATCTCCATGGAGGAGCCATACACAGTTAAGTGTAAAGACGTGTTATTTAAAAAACAAAAAACTGTCAACAGTTCAGGAGAACGTCAGTTACTCTGATAAAGGGGGAAATCTTCACAAGGAAAATCATATGGCTATTAGTAAAGCAAACGTTTTCAACCATCCTATCATGATACACGAGTGAGAAAAATATTATTGATACACGGTATTTTACATTACCACCAAGGGCCTCGAAAAGCAAGGACTGCTAAGTCCTTTCAGTCATTGGTAGCAGTCATCTATGTTAGCGGTTATAATATGATCCTTACTTTCCAAGCTATTGGGTTACTATCCGCTTGATTATCAAAGTTAGGATGGTCATTTGGTCATGCCACAAGTGACCATACAAATCAGCAGCTGTCTGAACTACTGTTTGACAATTAATCTCAACCATATAGGTTCAGAAGGTGTCATCAGCCGACCATTGGAGCTACCTTTGCACATCTTCAGGTGCATCCGCACCTGTCTCATTGAGCAACAGCAGCTCAGTACTCGCAGTATTCTCCTCTGTCACATCAGTTGAGTTGAGAAACTCATTGACATGTACCACAACCACATTAAGTCACCAGAGTGTAAAGTTCTTTCCTTGACTGACTTATCATAGCCCGTCTTCTGCAGTACGAGAACGTTGACTAGTTCCTGGCATGCAAAACTGCCAGTGATGTTTGTATCCTCTCCATACAGATTTATGACCATTGTGGTACACCCAATCTAGGCGGTAGGTTGTACATCAAATCCACAGGGAGATTTATCTCTCACCCAAACATAAACATGTAAAGCAAACATCTAGTTGATCTCTTCTCAAGTTTCTTGAGATGCCATCATAATTATTTACAGCACATTTTCATCTCGGTCTGTTCAACTGGGATTAACAAACTTTGCACCCATTCTACCAAACTACTCAATGGGAGGAATAAAGGTAACGTGTGTATCTTTAACACACCCAACACTGGGCGTAACTCAGAGAACAGCTGGCTGTTGAAATTACTTCCCTAATCAATGTGAATTTATCCAGGTACAGTACATATTGGTGCTTATCGCTAGTGTACCTGTCATATTGGATGTACCCAGCGATAGGCACCAATTGTACCTGTCATATTGGATGTGCTGTACCTGTCATATTGGCCAGCGATAGGCACCATTATGTGCTGTACCTGTCATGTTGGGTAGCGATAAGCACCAATATGTGCCCAGCGATAGGCACCAATAA